TTTTGTGTAAGACAACTTCCTAAAATGGAAATGGTTAGTTTAAAATTGACTTGGTTTTGGGCCGGCGCGGTGGCTCACGCCTGTTATCCTAGCACTCTGGGGGCCGAGGCGGGCAGATTGCTCGAGCTCAGGAGTTCGAAACCAGCCTGATAGAGCGGACCCGTCTCTACTATAAATAGAAAGAAATTAATTGGCAACTATATATATAGAAAAAATTAGCCAGGCATAGTGGCGCATGCTGTAGTCCCAGCTACTCAGGAGGCTGAGGCAGGAGGATTGCTTGAGCCCAGGAGTTTGAGGTTGCTATGAGCTAGGCTGACGCCAGGCACTCACTCTAGCCTGGTCAACAAGCGAGACTCTGTCTCAAAAAAAAAAATGATTTGTGAATGCTGTTTTCCTGTGGTGTATTTTTTGTAATGTTTATCATGTGTTGTAATATGGTATTGCGCCGTGATTGCTCATAGGCATTTCTTTATATATATATATATATATGTTTATATTATTTGCCATAAAAATTCAAACACATATTATTTTCACACAAATTTGAAAAAGAAGACCCCCAAGTCTGTGATTCCTAGAGGCCTTCTCTTTCTATTGTATTTCACAATGATAACGAGTCACTGAAATGAAAAAAATAGGTGTACAGGTAGTAAGTGCAACAAAAATCTTCCTCCATATTGCAGTAGTTTGGTGCTAGGTCAACAGGGGTTGGATATATTTATTTAAAAAAATGACATGGAGATGAGATAAAATGAAGATGAAAGAATGTACCAAGCTCTGTGAGTATAGGCAGGTACCAAACTGGCACCAACCACCTGTAAATTGGTTGTTGGTGTTCAGGGAGAGTGAGTGGAACTTTCTAGCTGGGGGAAGGACTTTTATGGAGAAGAGAGTTAAATAGGGCTGGAAAGAGTCTTCAACACTGGGCTGACAAATGTGACAATATAGGTGATGTGGACTCATTAAAAGATTTCTGAGCAACAGAGTGACACAAGCAAGGCTCTGTCTTGGGAAAAACAAGCTGGCTGTGGTGTGGAGGATACACTAGAGGGAAGAGTTGCCAAGAAACTAGGTAGGCAACAGTCTAAGATTTTGCTCTTTTGGTTATCTCTTTACACCAGAAATCATTTGTTTTCTTTCTATAAGCTCTTTCTCCAAAATATACCAACATGCTTTTGTATCTTTTCCATCTTAAAAAAAAAAAAAAAAGTAAAACACCTTTTTACTTACATCCCCCTTCAGCTAACACCCCACTTCTGTTTCTCTTGACGCCAAACTTAGTTCTTCCACTTGGTGCTTCTATTTCTCACCTTGCATTCTTTATTTTTATTATTTTAAAAATTGTCCTCTTTCCCCCTTTTAATTTGAATTATTTCAGGCATATAAAAAAGTATAAAAAATGCTGACCATCTAGTTAAATAAATGAAACATTACAAATAAAAATGGAGCCCCTTTCCATTTCTAAGGTCTCTCACCTCTCCATAAGTAACTATTATCCTAAATTTGTTTTTTTGTTTTTTTTTGAGATAGAGTCTCGCTTGTTGACCAGGCTAGAGTGAGTGCCGTGGCGTCAGCCTAGCTCACAGCAACCTCAAACTACTGGGCTCAAGCAATCCTCCTGCCTCAGCCTCCCGAGTAGCTGGGACTACAGGCATGCGCCACCATGCCCGGCTAATTTTTTATATATATATCAGTTGGCCAATTAATTTCTTTCTATTTATAGTAGAGACGGGGTCTCACTCTTGCTCAGGCTGGTTTTGAACTCCTGACCTTGAGCAATCCGCCCGCCTCAGCCTCCCAGAGTGCTAGGATTACAGGCGTGAGCCACCGCGCCTGGCTCTAAATTTGGCATTTAGCATTTCCACATGTCCTACTATGCATGTAAGATTGCATATGTACATACAATGTAGTATTGATTTGCTTGTTTTTAAACTTAGATAAATGATATGCTCCTGACTTTTTTTTTTTTTTCCAGAGACAGAGTCTCACTTTGTTGCCCAGGCTAGAGTGAGTGCCATGGCGTCAGCCTAGCTCACAGCAACCTCAAATTCCTGGGCTCAAGCAATCATACTGCCTCAGCCTCCCGAGTAGCTGGCAGGCACCACCATGCCCGGCTAATTTTTTGTATATATATTAGTTGGCCAATTAATTTCTTTGTATTTATAGTAGAGACGGGGTCTCGCTCTTGCTCAGGCTGGTTTCTAAGTCCTGAGCTCTAGCAATCTGCCTGCCTCGGCCTCCCAGAGTGCTAGGATTACAGGCATGAGCTACTTTGCTGGGCCTGGTCTACATTTCTTAATACATTTCTGCTCACCCCCAAATCATTAAGATGTTTTCTATAACATATATTATACTAAGAGTTTAGATAGTTAATCCAACTGGAATTGATTTTTATGTGAGGTAAAGATAAAATTTTATTTCTTTCCACAGGGATAATCAATCACTTTCCCACTGATCTAAACAATTGTACTACTCTAATAACTTCCATTTTCTTTTGCCTAAAAGAAAATACTTTTAGATATATATATAAAATATAATAAAATTCACTAACTATAAAGTTAGTTAAATGAGTTTTGACAAATTTATATATCCATGTAACTTCCTCCACAATTGAGAGACAGAACATTTGCAATGCCACAGAAAGTTCCCTGTCCCCCTCTGCAGTAAGTACCCTTTTCCTAGCCTTGGCTCCAAGCAACCATTCATCTATATTCTTTCCTAGAATTTCATATAAGTGGAAATCCATTTCTGGAGTGATAGAAATGTTTTACCTCATGAGTATTATATTATGGTAGTTCCACAACTGTATATATTTGCCAAACCCATCAAATTATACAAGTAAAATTGATGAGTTTGACGGTATGCAAATTATACCTACATAAAGGTGACAAAGAAAAAAAATCCACTGGTCTCACTCAAGTGATTCTTTTCTGGTTTTTTTTTTTGGCAAGGAGGAGGGGATAGACAGAGTCTTGCTCTGTTGCCCAGGATAGAGAGAGTGCTGTGGTGTCAGCCTAGCTCACAGCAACCTCAAACTCCTGGGCTTGAGGGATCCTCCTGCCTCAGCCTCTGGAGTAGCTGGGACTACAGGTGCAAACCACAACATCTGGCTAATTTTTTCTACTTTTAGTAGAGACAGGATGATCTCTCACTCTTGCTCAGGATGATCTCAAACTCCTGATCTCAATCAATCCTCCCACCTCAACTTCTCAGAGTGCTAGGGTTACTGGTGTGAGCCACCGAGCCTGGCCCTGGTCTCACTCAAGTGATTCTGTACTTTGAATGTATCCTTTACTTACATATGATTTTGTAATTTTAGGCATTAATCATTTGGAAAATATTAATTCAATGAGGCACATAGATTTTCCAAATATTGACACTTTTCATTAGATAACATATAAAAAAAGGCCGGGCACGGTGGCTCACACCTGTAATCCTAGCACTCTGGGAGGCCGAGGTGGGCGGATTGCTCGAGCTCAGGAGTTTGAAACCAGCCTGAGCAAGAGTGAGACCCCATCTCTACTATAAATAGAAAGAAATTAATTGGCCAACTAATATATATAGAAAAAATTAGCTGGGCATGGTGGCGCCTGCCTGTAGTCCCAGCTACTTGGGAGGCTGAGGCAGGAGGATTGCTTGAGCCCAGGAGTTCGAGGTTGCTGTGAGCTAGGCTGACACCATGGCACTCAATCTAGCCTGGGCAACAAAGCGAGGCTCTGTCTCAAAAAAAAAAAAAAAAAAAAAATATATATATATAATGAATCACACTCAATATCTCTATGGGTTTCAACAGAAAGGTCTTTAGTATTGGGAATATAATATGCTCACAGTTTTCCAAAACTCTAATTTTCACCTGAAAGCTTGAATTTTAGCACTGGCAACAAATGTAAGGTGTTTTCCTTGAAATGACAGGCTCACTACCATTAATTTTTGAGGGCTTGGCATGGTGGCTTGTGCCTATAATCCTAGCACTCTGGGAGGCCAAGGCAGGCAGATCATTTGAGTTCAGGAGTTCGAGACCAGCCTGAGCAAGTGTGAGATTCCACCTCTACTAAAAAGAAAAAAGAAAGAAATTAGCTGGACAACTAGAAATATATAGAAAAAATTAGCCCGGCATGGTGGCACATGCCTATAGTACCAGCTACTGGGGAGGCTGAGGCAGGAGCAGGTCTGAGGTTTGAGGTTACTACAACCTGAAACTCCTGTGTTCAAGTGATCCTCCTGCCTCAGCCTCCTGAGTAGGTGGGACTACAATGCCTAGCTAATTTTTATATCTTTAGTAGAGACAGGGTCTTGCTCTTACTCAGGCTGGTCTCAAACTCCTGAGCTCTAGAAGTCCTCCTGCCTTTGGCTTCCTGGAGTGTTAGGATTTCAGGTGTGAGTCACGATGCCTGGCCAGCTCTGGCTTTAAAAAAAAATTGCCTATGGGTGATAGTGAAGAATATAATTACTAGCACTGTATGAGTTCACTGCCTTGATTTGTACTAAGGCATTAGCAGTTTTGCCATCAGTTTTGCAAATATCAACATAGTGACAAAGGCAATGTCTTTACATTATTATGAAAATAGTTTTGTGAATTCCCTGCACAGGTCTCTGGGACTCATAGGGTCTACAGACACACTCTGAGAACACTTACCCAAAATTTAAGGGTATTTCTGGAGTAAACTCAAAATTTAAAATGTGAATCCTTTAAGTTTGAGATTCTGAAGGAGACATCTACATAACAAACTAATAGAAAAACAGTTTCTAACTGAAAATCTAGAGGAACTTAAAAGGAGGCCCATAAGACCAGTATGGCTAAAATAATTGAGTTCAAAGAACTTCAGCTTAAAGTTTTCTAAACTTCCAATATTTGCTTTTTAAGTCACAAAGAAGCAGCTTTTTATATGATTTTTATTTAAATTAATTAGCCAAGAAACCTTGAGACAGCAAACAGATGGAGGGTCAAAAGAATCTTCAGTATACCAATCTAGAACAAATCTAGCCCAGCTACTTCCTACCTGAGAGCCACTCGATACTTCTGCCCCAATTTCTCAATTTCAGCCATTACACAGTCAGTTATACAAGGAATACCTGCCAGGAAAAAAAAAAATTAGGAACAGAACTTGTGAAGAAATTATCTCTGAATTATATCCTGTTCAGAGTCTTTAAAAGACCCAAGGGAGTTCTAGAATGACAGCAGAATTAGCACAATGAAATAAATAATAAGAACTAGAGAAGAAAGCTCTGCCAGCCCAGCGCGTTGGCTCATGCCTGTAATCCTAGCACTCTGGGAGGCTGAGGCGGGTGGATTGCTCAAGGTCATGAGTTCGAAACCAGCCTGAGCAAGGGCGAGACCCCACCTCTACTATAAATAGAAAGAAATTAATTGGCCAACTAATATATATACAAAAAATTAGCCGGGCATGGTGGCACATGCCTGTAGTCCCAGCTATTCGTGAGGCTAAGGCAGAAGGATTGCTTGGGCCCAGGAGTTTGAGGTTGCTGTGAGCTAGGCTGACACCATGGCACTCACTCTAGCCTGGGCAACAAAGTGAGACTCTGTCTCAGGAAAAAAAAAAAAAAAAGAAAGCTCTGTTTATACTAGGGAACTGCCCCAACCCCGCACCACAGATTCACAAAAGTATCTGTCATAGACATATTTGGCGGAAAAAAAATTGGATCCTGTCATTATATTAATAAAAAAGTTCTAGGTGGAAAAAAATTTAAATATGAGCCAAACTCCATGAAATTAACCAGAAAATGCAAATTTGATCACATAAAAATAAAAACCTTCTGTCAGAAACAGAAGAGCCAAACAAAGCCATAGCAAAGTCAAAAAGCTAAACTGGGAAGAATATTCCCACAAATTTGTCAAACAGCTAATTTCCTTAATATACATAGATCTTTTAATAATAGCTTACAATTATGTGCTATGTGTCAGATACAATTAACCTCTATCAGGTAGCACTGTTATCATTATCCCCATTTTATACATGAGGAACCTGAGGTACAAAGAAATTAACTAACTAGATAGCACATGGTGAAGCCAAGATTGGAACTGAGTCTATCAGGTTATAGACTGGGACCTTAACTATCATGCTATATTTTATTTCATTTCATAGAAGAGGACATACAAATGGTCAATGAGACTGTAGATGCTCAATCTCACTCCTAATTAAAGAGATGCAAAAAATCTTTCCCACCTAGTGGAGTGACAAAAAACCCCATACTGAAAAATCTCAATATTGAGGAAACACATATCCTCATATTAAGTTTGTAGGTATATAAATTGGCATAACTATTTGACCATTTTCATTTCATTATTTGAAGGCAATTTTTTTTTTGAGACAGAGTCTCACTTTGTTGCCTAAACTACAGTGAATGCCGTAGCATCAGCCTAGCTCACAGGAACCTCAAACTCCTGGGCTCAAGCGATCCTTCTGCCTCAGCCTCCCAATTAGCTGGGACTACAGGCATGCGCCACCATGCCCGGCTAATTTTTTTTTATATATTTTTAGTTGGTCAATTAATTTCTTTCTATTTTTTAGTAGAGACAGGGTCTTGCTCTTGCTCAGGCTGGTTTTGAACTCCTGACCTTGAGCAATCCGCCTGCCTTGGCCTCCCAGAGTGCTAGAATTACAGGCGTGAGCCACCTCGCCCAGCCTATTTGAGGGCAATTTTGCAATACTTATTAAAAATATCTATACCCCTTGATATTGTAATATAGCTTCTAGAAAATGTGTCCTAAAGAAATATTCACATTTTTACATATAGACATATCCACAAAGGTAATCACTATAGCCTTGTTTTATAATATGATAAAAACTGGAAATAATCCAAATGTCCAATAGAATATTGGGTTTAAAAATTTATGTATTTTAATAGAATAATATATAACTTAGGAAAAGAATCAGGTCCATCACATATACTGACATAGAAAAACATTCAAGATATATGTTCAATGTAAAAAGCAAGGAGAAATGAATAACCAAAATGTGATCAATCCATACAATATTATTCAGTAATAAAAGGAAAGTACTGATACATGCTATTAATTTGTGACCCCCTGAAGGATGCAAACACTCAGATGAAAATTAAAACAAAAACAAATAGAAAAAGTAAATATAAATAAAAAAATAAAATATAATATAAAAAAAATTTGTGACCCCTGAAAACATTATGCTAAATGCAAAAGGACTAAATAGTATATGATTCTATTTTTATGAAATATCCAAAATTGGCAAATCTATAGAGACAGGAAGTAGATTAATGGTCACCTAGGGATGGGAAAAGAGAATAGCGAGAGTGATGGCTAAAGGGTAGGAGGTTTCTTCTAGGGATAATGAAAATGTCCTAAAATTGTCTAGTGATGGATATGTACAACTCTGTGAATACACTAAAAGCCACTGAATTGTACATTTTAAAAGGATGAATTATATAGCATGTGAATTACATCTCAATAAAGCTGTTTTAAAAAAGAGGAAATAAGGTATGATCCATTTTTATTAATAAAACAAAAATAAACATTATCTCACACAGATTATATATGAATTTTTTAAAAATGTCCCTTCTTGAGGAAAAGCATTATAGGGAACTTTCATTTTTATAAATACATTAATACTTTTGAAAGCAGAAAAAGCTAAGAAAATTTTAAATGAAAATACAATGACCAGAAGAAAAAGCATTTGTAAAATAGAGGCACTAAGGCAGTGAGATCAGACAGTCATGGATTCAGAGGGCAATGCATGCTTTAAGAAGATAAATTTCAGAGCCATATGGCAGAGAAGTGAGCAAAGACTTACAACTGGAGTAAGGAGACAGGCCTAGGAAGACCGCCATAAGGAAAGGGAAAGTAACAGCCACAGCATTCATGGTCAGAAGAGAAACCTGATGGGAAGGGAATTATCCTCCCTCGTTGGACTATCAGGTAGAAATGGAAGGGACCTCTTCAAGGTAAGAGGATAAAGGCCTTCCTTAAGGTTTAAAGGCAAGCATGCATGCATGCATTCATTCATTCATTCATTTATTTATTTAGACAGAGTCTTGCTTTGTTGCCCAGGCTAGAGTGAGTGCCGTGGCGTCAACCTAGCTCACAGCAATCTCAAATCCTGGGCTCAAGCAATCCTTCTGCCTCAGCCTCACGAATAGCTGGGACTACAGACATGTGCTACCATGCCCGGCTAATTTTTTCTATATATTTTAGTTGGCCAATTCATTTCTTTCTATTTTTAGTAGAGACGGGGTCTTGCTCTTGTTCAGGCTGGTTTCGAACTCCTGACCTTGAGCAATCCACCCGGCTTGGCCTCCCAGAGTGCTAGGATTACAGGCGTGAGCCACCGCTCCCGGCCGCAAGCAAATATTTAAAAAGCAGAACTTAAAACAGTTAAAGAGTCTCCTACAAATTTGTACTGTTCTTTAATATTTTTTCAGCCTTTGCTTTGAGGTACTGTGACATAGAAGCCTGCAGAAAGTGGTATTTTTCTTAATAAATTTATTTTTAGAAAAGGCACAGTGAGAGCATTTAGCTGTATACATTATAGCTGCATTCTAAGGTACACATATCTAGAAAAAGCCTAACTACAGGACTAAAGCTATCCTGATTAAAGTTCTCACTAGAGATTAAAGTTCTCCCTAGATATTATTAGTGTAGCTACAGAGTCAAGGAAACAATTCACCTCCAAAGGGCCACATTTTGACCCTCTATCCATTTAGCTGATAAATACAACACAGCATTCCTGAAGAAGCAGCTCAGACAATTATAAGAAATGCCATGGAGAATATAAAGAGCCTATCAAATTTAGTGTCTTCCTCCATACAAGGCCACCCAAGGCCCATTCTTAGAGGTCTAGTAGCACCACAACTTTAGATTATTATTTCTAAATGATTTTCAGAAAAAGAATATGCATACTGCTTCAAAAAGAAATACAGAAAGGCCTATAAGAAAAAATAACTTTCCTTTGACCATTTCCCATCCCACTATTTCTGATCCTCAGAAAAGACTATTTATTCCATTAGCACCATTTTTCTCACATACTAGTTACTTTTTTTTTTTTCTTTTTTCTCTGAGACAGAGTCTTGCTCTGTTGTCTAGGCTAGAGTGCTATGCCATTAGCCTCGTTCACAGCAACCTCAAACTCCTGGGCTCAAGCGATGCTCCTGCCTCAGCCTCCTGAGTAGCTGGAACTACAGGCATGTGCCACCACGCATGGCTAATTTTTTCTATGTTTAGTAGAGATGGGGTCTTGCTCTTTCTCAGGCTGGTCTCAAACTCCTGAGCTCAAGCGATCCTCCTGTCTTGGCCTCCCAGAGTGCTAGGATTACAGGTGAAAGCCACCGGGCCCAGCAATAGTGGTTACTTTCATCTTCATAAACATATACACCTAATAAATATATGCAGCCATTCTCACATTTATTAACTTTATGCATTTAAAGATTTTGCTCTCGTATACCCTTCACACATCACTTACCTCCATCTTTTCATCTTCTTGGTAATAACAAATCAATAAACAACATTGACATTACTATCACTCTATAAATGTTGTTCACTGTAAAGTATCCCTTAAAAATTAAAGAGGAAGGTGCAAATTTTTCCTTTGATTTCAATAATTTATTCTTAATTGCAAAGTAGAAGTCTAATTTACATTTGTACTTTTAACTGGATGACTGGAAAACATATGACTTTAAAACTATCACAAATGTAACAGATCTTACCATGAGAAAGTTATTCCCTGATACATGGCCTAAATTTTCTCATTCCCACACATGGTAGTGATGGAAGATCATGTGAGGGAGGGGATACCCAAATACACAAAAGAAATCTATTAATGGTAAACTGCATACCTAGGTGTAAATAAACTACCTCAGATCCTTTGTGGTACAATACAAATAAACACCAGGAATATATACACTTAATGTAAAAGAATATATATACTGAAAAATATATAGATTTTTCGTTTATATAGAATTTTAAAATAGAAAATTCCCCTTTTACATTTAAAATTGATGTCCATGATGAGTCAAAGCACTTTGTTTTCTGAATTGTGAAAGTTTAATTATTCTGTCAAGATTGCATTAGATTTAAATTCAGAGAATACGGTTATTGCTATAGTGACCACTGCAAATTAAATGGGCAGCAATTCAGTTAACTGGAACCCCCACCTCCCTCTTTTAATATATTTGGATAAAAATGATTATTCTGTATAAATATTGCAGAAATGTCTAAGTATGATACTCACACTTGGCATACAGACAGTCCATCATTGACTGTACTAAGTCCAGTTTGGCTTTAATAGAAAAGTTGATAAAGTTGGTATCAACCAAGATGTGGTACGGTGGGCCCAGCTGGGTATTATATTGGAAGAATAAGCAGGAAGGGTGTTGGGGGCTGAAGGTAAAACAAAACAAGAACACAAAGTAAAGTTTATATTGATACTTTGGTATCAACAAAAACAAGAAGTCTCTGCTTGGGACAGTTTACTATTGATTAAACTCTTCTTGTTCATTGGAAATAAATCTTAAAAAGGAAGGCAAGGAAGTAACATTATATTTTTATTTTCTTTTTTTCCAGTAGAGACAGGATCTTGCTCTGTTGCCCAGGCTGGTCTCAAACTCCTGGACTCAATCTATCATCCGGCCTCGGCCTCCCAATGTGCTGGGATTATAGGTATGAGGCACCACACCCGGCTGCAACATCACATTTTAATCTCAGGTCTAGTACACTCACCACAACTTTAAAAAAGCAATTATTCAACCAAGCTCTTCCTCTAATAGGAGCAGAATAGCCATGGGCACAGGAAGGTAGAATACAGCTATTATGAATGATCCTACAGCAAGTTTGCCATTCTCATAGGATCCTAAAATGGTTGTATGGAATTTGGTATAGGAGAAAAGTTTGTCCAGTGTTAGGATTATATACTACAGCAAGGCCTGTATCTCATCTAAATACCATGTCTACGTTGAATATGACAGTGATTCTAAATGTTAGTCCATGGACCAATATCCATCTGTGATAATATATCTATCACTAAACCAGGGCAAAATGAGAAAAATAAGGAAAATGTGGTGAGGTTTTCATAAAGTTAAATGTACTTATTTAAAAGGAATAATCTTTATTCTGAAAACATATGCTTACTTTTCTTAGCGATACAATCTCTCTTTTATGAAATGCTGCTGTGTTTAAACAATGGCAAAGAAAAATATTAATAATCCTAGATTATATCTCCAGGATTTTAGGGGAAATTTTATTGCTCAGTGAAATTCAAAACCTTCAAATCAATGCAATTGGTATGTGTTCATCAAGGTGACTTTCATTTGCATAGTTGTGTCAGAATTACCAACAAAGGATTGAGTAAATCAGCTCAGTGAAAGCCTGGATTTCTAAGAAGTCTATGGTTTTAGAATGTCTCTTTTAGTTTTAAAGGAAAACTTAAAATTTTTGATTACTCACACTTCTCTTTCCTTCAGTGTGCTGGGATCCTTCTTTTCTTTCTTTTTAGGTTTTAATCTGTCCTTTTCTTTACTAGGAAACAAAGTAATTTAAATCCAAAGGAGAAGAGAATACCACAGCAGTTATAATCTCATTCAAAAACCAAATGTTCCAGTGTTTTTTTCTACAGAGATAATCCTATTTTGTGATTTTTTTTTTATGTTAGTATCAGCATACATCTCCTGAGCAATTAACTATAGTAGGAAGTAGCCTGGAAGTACTGTAATTGATACATAAAGCCAATAATGCATAAAAATTGTTAATGGGTAAATAAATGTTGGTTATACTATCATTTCCTTCTTAGTCAGAATCTCTCATATCAAGGCTCAAAATCCACTTCCAAGCAGTGGGGAAATAAGCTGATAGTTATCTTCTGAAGACCTAGATGCTTTAACAGTAGGGGGGTAAAAGGGTTACCCCATATGCCACTTATAAAGGGCTAAAATGTAAAGACACATGTACAAAATTTAACCTGTAATTAGAAACAAAATATTATCAATGGGGTATCATGTCTAAAAAATTACATAATAAATCCATACTAAAGGCTGAGAAGAATAACTCTGAAGGCTCTAATGACATTCTTTTGTTCTGAGACTCTTTTTTTGAGACAGAGTCTCGCTGTGTTGCCCACGAGGGAGTGCCGTGGCATCAGCCTAGCTCACAGCAATCTTAAACTCCTAGGCTCAAGCGATCCTACTGCCTCAGCCTCCCGAGTAGCTGGGACTACAGGCATGTGCCACCAAGCCCAGCTAATTTTTTAAATATATATTAGATGGCCAATTAATTTCTTTCTATTTATAGTAGAGACAGGGTCTCGCTCTTGCTCAGGCTGGTTTCGAACTCCTGAGCTTGAGCAACCCGCCCACCTCGGCCTCCCAGAGTGCTAGGATTACAGGCATGAGCCACCGCGCCCGGCCTGTTCTGAGACCCTTAAACACAAGGAAGATCAGTCCTTATTTAACAGCTATTTCTATTCTTCACTGAAGCTGGGAGCTGTTTAGATTCTCTTTATAAGGATTAGCACCCTAGTTTCTTCTTCCACGATGATTCTTATAAGATTTATAAAATGAAGATATCTGTGACTTTTCCCATTTTCTCTTTCAAAAATACTTGAGTGTTAGGCACTAGAGACACAAGACAAACATGGTCTCTGACTTCACCATCTTTCAATAATAACAACATCTTTTTCTGGGAAATGTAGTAATGTAATGGTAACAACATAAAGATAATCGTACCCACCTCACAAAATTGTTATGAGGTTTAAATGTTATGTGGTAGATAAACCATACAACAACAGTGGAATTAAGTGAACACTTAAGAAATGTTTAATTTTCATCGCCCTTCTCAGTGTAATCGCTCAGCAGCTAAATGACTGTCATATACTTGACAAATATCCCATGCTACATAAATCGAAGACACAATAATATCAGAAGCAAATAACAACAAAAACTTTGACTACTTATCCCCTCGTGATTCTTATTACATCCCTGAGTAGTCTAAGAACCCAGTTGATTCCGGACACTCACAGCCTCTGATCTCTGAGACTAAGCATTCGCTTCATGGTCGCATACTTCCTTGTTTTCTTTTGCTTCCCCTTGAAACAGAAGTTTTAGAGTTAAAAGATTTGGAAATACATTGCACCTTCTTAAATCTCTTCTTTTCTCTTGTCCACTCCCTTCCCTTCTTGCCTTAAACATCAACCCCCTCTCCACTCCCTAAAGGTTAACATGCACCGCTCGGAGCAGTTTAAGAGCTAAGACTAGAATGAAAATAAGCAAGAGGAATGTTGAGAAAATTTGGCCACAGGCTGACTCCTTCCATCCCCGCCCCAAATCGGTCTGACAACCGTTCCTACCCTCCTCTCTCACCATGCTCACGCCACACTCCTATTTCTTCCGGAATCACCAACGGCGCGACATTTTTACGTCATCCACATACTGCTTCCGGCAAAGAATAGCCCGGAAGCGGAAGGCGCTTCGGGAAACGGAAAAGCCCTGAGCCGGTTCCCAGGCCGGGCAAAGACCGGCACTGGGGTCTCTTGGGAAGGTTGGGGGATTGCCTTCTTCTGAATGCTGCCACCATCTCCCAGGACCGCAGAGCTGGGACTTCGCTACGCCGCAGCCCCCTGCTTGGGTAAGGTTTCTCTCCGGCCGGAGTGAGCCAAGAAGATCCGCTTGCACCTGTGTCCCAGAGAGGGGGAGGACAGGAGTGGAGGGTGCGGAATCCTGGGTTGCAAGTAGTTTGGGGGAACACATTCTTCCCATTCTCCAGCGCTGGGTCATCGGAACTCTACTGCCCAACCTTGAGACTCTGGTCTCTACTTGGTTCTTCTAGCTTGCATGGTGCTTTGTGCAGCTAGGTGGACGATTCTCTGCGGGGACATATAGTGTATTCGTCTCGGTGAAGAGAGAGATAGCGCTTGAGCGCCTTCTTTAGACTATCACTAGAAAATTGGGGCATAAGGTTGAATATATTTCGATTTACCAAGCCAGGAAAATGGTGGGAAACAGTTAACATTTATTGTGAAGCCTTGGTGTGTTATCTTTAAAGAAAAAGAGAGAATTAGTGAGAACAAGAAAGGAAAGGTAACTTCCGCCTTTTTGAGTATCTGCTGTGTACTCCAGGGGTTCTTAACCTTTTGGAGATCACGTACCTCTTGACAGTTTGTGGAAAGCCAGGAAGCCAGGGACAGTTCTTTTACAAATGGGCGCATATACAATTTGTGATGCAGTTTATGAGTCTGGTGGACTCTGAGGCCCATCCATGGGCCCTTTAGGTGTCTGTAAACTTCAGGTAAGAACCCCTATCCTGTACACTGCACTTGGCACTTTATTCATATTACATTCTTTGACCTTCACAATAACTTAAGTACCCTGATTTTACGTATGGAGAAGCTGAAGCCCAGATTTTATTCATGGGTCTATTTGAGTCTGTTTGATCTCAAACCCTGCATTTTTCTTATTGCACCATGCTTCCCTAGTGTATGGAAGCCAAAAAGATTATCAGGTTAAAAAAAAAAAAAAAGGAGATCATCATATAGCTCTTACTGTGAAACATGGGCGTATGGGTTAATATGAACTTCGGAGTCAGACTGCTGTGCCTTGTACTAGCTGTATGACATTGCACAGGTTAATCTGTGCCTGAGTTTCTTCATCTGTAAAATGGAGATAATCATAATAGTGCCCATCTGATGGGGGTGTTAGCAGGTCTTATGTTATCCTATTCATAGTTAAAATGTGAAGTGCTTAGAACACATTACTACAAAGTAAACCAAAGTTTTTCTATTATTATCATTGTGTCTTCCAACTTAAGAGTATGTAGTAGAGTTGTAATTTTATGCCAGTTGTATTTTAATATAGTTGCACTAGAACTTGAATTAATAAGCTTCAGAAACTTTATTAAGTTTTCATGTCCTGAAAAGCTCAATTGCGGAGTGGTTTCTTCAGTTGATTTGAGTGTAGGCATACTGGTTTTCGGTTTCTCCTTTCTGTTTTGGGCATGCATGCATTTAGCTAGCTTTGTAGTTCACATATCTGTAGGCTCTGCATTTTTGATGTTGAAATAGTTTTATTATTGAAACATCTACAGATACTGTATGCACCTCCTGCTTTACCCCATTTGAGGTCACTAGAATTTCCTAATCTTTTGAAACAGCTTGTCTCTGGCAAGGTATCATTTGTGGGTGGAGTGAACAGTGGCCACTTTTTGGATGCACTTTCTGGTGACTAGGCAATACATTTTCTAAGTAAACATGGTCAATTATTTTTTTAAACATATGGGGACTGATTAGTATTATATATAGGTTCAGAGGGAAAATTGCATATGATTAAGTAGTAATTTGCATTTAAATTCAGGCATCGACAGAAAAATACTCTCCTCTTTATGTGTACCTTGAAGTTGAAATCTATGAACAATAACGATTTTTTTAAAAAGCAATTTGTAATTTCTATTCTGAGAATTTTCTGATTTCCTTGATGGTTAATACATCATAGGGAGCTAAATTAGTGTTGGAACACCATGGGGGATGAGAACATACTTAGAAAAATATGTTTTTGTTGCTTTGTAATTGTATTGCAATCTGAGATTTAAAGTACTCAGATACTCTATAGCATTGTTTGATGGGGTTGGGAAAGGGGGAGTTGGTGTTGATTTGTGTTGGATGGGAGCAGAAAGTAATTGCTTTTGGGCACATACTTGTGAGGAAAAGAAATTATTTTAGTCCTTCTCAGCAGTCAAGAGGGTTGTTTTGTATTTTTCTGCAGTCTTAAAGAGAAAAAATCGCTCAAGATATTGGACCCACAGTTTGAACACATAATTGGGCTTGGACTTCATTCCATTCACTAATTGGTCTAACTTACTAATTTAAGTTGATAAATTTCTTTATAAAATTATGGATAATGAAAGATTTCCTAAAGAACATCTTGTATTTCAATGTTAGTTATAGGTAGATTCACATTTGTAGCCATCAAGAGAAAAAAAATTAATGTGAAGATATTTTTTCCATTTTGAAGTTACAGTTTTTACATTTATTTTCGTAACTTATATGACATGGCTTTTTTCCCCCAACAGACATTTGTTGCTGTTAATTATTTTTCAGTTAACTTGACTGCCTCCTAAATGTGATAGCATAGTATACAGCATGTTCTGCTCCTGAGGCTTTGATATTGAATTAGTTTGTAAGGTTACTTCAGAGGTAAATTACTGCTGCATGTTCATTCATTCAGAAAGCATTTTTTGAGGGCCCATTCTGTCCTAGGCAATGTGGTAGTTACTCTTCAAGACCACAGTTCTAGGCCAGGTATGGTGGCTTAGGCTTACAATCCTAGCACTCTGGGAGGCTGAAGCGGGAGGGTCACTTGAGGTCAGGAGATCGAGTCCAGCCTGAGCAAGATCGAGACCTCATCTCTACAAAAAAATAGAAAAAAATTAGCCACGCATGAGTGATGCGTGCCTGTAGTTCCAGCTACTCAGGAGGCTGAGGTAGGAGGGTCACTTGAGCCCAGGTGTTTGAGGTTGCTGTGAGCTAGGCTGATGCCACAGCACCCTAACCCAGTGACAGAGCGAGACTGTCTAAAAGAAAAAAAAAACCCACAGTCTTGTATTGGAAAAAGACTTATGGTAGGGGGCTGATTAGAGGTATGAGTTGAAATATTTTAGGGGAATTACTCTACCTGTTCATCTTTCTGATAGTGGTTCAGGTCAGAGTACTGTTGTACTCTGTAATATTTATTCATTCATTCATTCATTTATTTATTTGAGACGGAGTCTCACTCTGTAGCCTGGGTTAGAGTGCCATGGTGTCAGCTCACAGCAACCTCCTGGGTTCAAGGCATCCTCCTGCCTCAGCCTCCCAAGTAGCTGGGACTACAGACACGCGCCACTGTGCCCACCTAATTTTTTCTATTTTTAGTTGTTTGGCTAATTTTCTTTCTATTTAGAGACAGGGTCTCGCTCTTGCTCAGGCTGGTCTCGAACTCCTGAGCTCAAGCAATCCTCCCACCTCGGCCTCCCAGAGTGCTAGGATTACAGGTGTGAGCCACTGCACCCAGCCTGTTGTGTAATATTTAATACTATCAACATACTGTGTAACCCATCAGATTTCATTACCTTAATGGATTCTATATAATTTTACCTTTTATATGGCTTTAGCTATTAACTAGCTTAGGTTTAAATTTCAGTTATTTTTCTGTGTTTTTTTCACTCTGAAAGGTTTAGCCTTTACCAATATTCTTTTGTGTAGTAGTTTTCAAACTTTTGAGGTTGTTTAACCTTATTGCAGTTTGTGTGTGTGTGTGTGTGTGTGTGTGTGTGTGTGTATGCACACATGTGCACATCTGAGCCCTCAATATTGTGTTATATCACCGTGAGAGTGTTTTCTTGGTGGGACTCTTGAAGCCTATTCTACAAGGTAGGGTTTAATAGAGAGAGATGAGTATTCATTTAGCTATTAGAAACTAAAACGTCTCATGGTAGATAACATGTTTTGTCATTTAGTCTGACTTGAACAGAACAGACTTGAACAGATTTTTTTTTTCTTTTAAGAAACAGGGTCTCAACTATGTTGCCCAGGCTGGATTTGAACTCCTGGGTTAAAGTAATCCTCCTCCCTCAGCCTCCTGAGTAGCTGGGACTACAGGTGTGCACCACCACACTTGGCTTGATTTTATATGAATTTTTGTTACCTTGAAGAATTTGCATCATGTTTTTCAGAGCTTATAGCTAAAGCATTCATTTCAGTGTAATTTGCCTGTTAGTGTTGAGATAGTCAACATCTGTTAATTGTATTTTCTATTTATTGTATGTTTTGGCCAGAGATCAGTTAAAAGTAATCTAGTAACATGCAACATACGTTTTCTATAGTGTTCCCTTGCTTTTATCTGGAGATCCAGCTCAACGTTATTTTAACCCCTCTCTTGTCCACTTTGGGAAGTTCAAATCCAAAGATACTCCTTTGTGTATATGGTGAAGCTATTAGGAAGAGAAAGCAGTTAAAACCTTCCAGGGTTGATTTAGTTTTTTCATGTTTTGATGAAGAAAGAAACCCAACAGGGTTGTGCAAATGGTTTGTAGAAAGGGGTTGGGTTAGTTTTAGCCCAGCATTACCTGAATTGGGGCAGTGACTAGGGAGGCCTGGTCAAAATCCTAAGGGGGAGAGAATATAAAGTGGAGGATCATATGTAATTAAAAAAAATTTTTATTGTGGAGTAATTTTAAATTTATATAAAAGTTGTAAAGATAGCACAGAGTGTTCTGTATACCTTTCACCCAGCTACTCCTAAATGTTAACTTCTTATATAACCATGGCACATTTTTCACAACTAAGAAAGTAACACTGGTACAGTACTATTACCTGAACTATAGACTTTATTTGAATTTCACAAGTTTTTCCATTAATGTCCTTTTTCTGTCCTAGGACCCAATCCAGAATACCAGGTTCCAGTTAGACCATGTGTAATTTTGATAAATAGTTTGGGGTTTCCAATGAGTGCTTTTTCTATTCTATGTATGTGGTCTAGTAATCCCCTCTGCCTAGTGCTGAAGAGTGAAAGTCATTGACTATGAGAATAAATAATACTGCATAGATAGTTAGTGTTTTTATTCTTTGACTCCCAAAGCATTGTTAACTCTGTGGA